CCCCCCCCCACCCCCCGTGTGTCCTCAGACCGAGGGGCCGGCTCCCTTTACCCTCTTGAGGCACAGGGCAGAGCTCACAAAAGAGCTCTCCCTGCCAACGGCTGTATTCCGGGAGACAGCCCTCAGAGAAGGACAAACGGCCACACCCCAACCTCACCCCACAGCTCTTATCGTCTTTCTGCGACTTAAGTTCAGGTCACCGTGATCACCCTGTGCAGGAGATGAGCCCTCATACTTTGGAGCACCCAGATTTAAAACACGCTCTCTCGGTCTTCTAGGAACTGAAAATCTGGGAGTGACGGCTCATAAAGAGACACACCGTTGGTATACTTTCACACACCGGCTTTATTGATGGACCCAGTGAAAAGTGACAGTGCCAACAGAGACAAACAGGTGTCAAACCCCAAAAACGGCAGAAACAAGGATGAAAATCAGCTGGTGTGCCAAAACCGGTTAATCCCGTAACATCAAGAGCTCCTTAGACTTAACTCTGTCACCTATGCGTTCACTTTGGCAAACTGGGTTTGGAATGCTGGAAAGATACTGTTCCATGCGACAACTTATAAAAGCAAAGTGTAATTAGGGATTTTAAATAATGCCTAGTTCTAGAGGAAAAAATAAGCCTCACAAAAGGTCAGGCAGCGTGCATAATTGGCACATTGATAGGAACACCAGCTTGAAAGTTGGGAATAGTTCATAACGTGCAGGCCTGAGCACAGCAGAGGCTTAAATGTACAAAAAGCAGGGAAGCTGCAGGCGATGGGGCAGGAGGGACTGGACTGAGAACCCGGAGCCCTGACTCCTGGCCTCATTTCTGCCCCAACAGCTTTCTCACACTGAAGTAACTAACTGCCTCCAGCTATATTTGGTATCCAAGGTTAACCGACAGGAGGTGGAGACTTTCAAAAAGTGAATTCAGTGGGTTTTACTTCTTACTGCTCATAAAATATACATAACACGCAACTTACAATTTTTAAAGCATGTTCAAGCCCTTATAGCTACTTGTATTCCCTAGAGATACCTAGGGGCATCCGTGGGTTGGTAAATAAATACTCTGAATGAATGTCTGTAAGGCTGTTTTAAACACCGTCCGGAATGTACCAGATTGTCATGCTCAACTGGAGAATAAATCAACAGGGGAGCCTTTTCGAAAAACGCTGTCCTTGCCTGTTACGGGGTAGTCTTCCCCCAAAACACTGAGGGACAAAAGACGTGGAGAACCAACGCTCCGAGTTACCCACCATGTAAACATAAAGCAGAGCAAGACGCACTGGACAGTGGACAGAGCCTCAGATGGGGACACACAGGGCTGGGGGGGTTTGGGGGAGAAGGGCCAGAGAGGCTCCTGTACTTGCGCCTGCTATCAGGTACGGACGGGGCGCTGGCACGGGGACCCCCAGCGGGCACGCTCTTCCAGACCCGGCTGGGGTCCTAACCGCTGTCCTAACCCAAACCCCCTCTCGTTTCCTCCACCAAAACCACTCTGACTCTCCCATTTCGTGAATCACAAGCGCTGTCCCAGGAGATACACCTGTACTGTGAATGTAGCCGCAAGGAAAGCAGCCTCACCGACAAAAACACGTCCCTGAAAGGAAATAACTCACTTCACGTCACTGCATGCTTCTCCACAAAACCCTTTCTCCATTTCGGCCCCGGCTCCTCGCTTCACGGGGAAAGCATTTTTTTTACACGTCCGGAATTCTGGTACATCAATCTCTACCATTAAAGCGCTGAAATGCAGCGTGGACCTCAGTCGCTGACTCGCCCTGAGCTGATGATTACGAAACGACGGAGAAGGGGACGCAGAGGACCCCCCCGCCCGGAGGACTCCCAGCAGCCCGGTGCAGCCCCACACCAGCCCCGGGTCCAGACAGCTCGCGCCCCGCGGGTGTCCGCCCCCATGGCGCCGGCAGCACGGCTCGCAGCTGACCGCGGAGGCGCGAGCTGCCCAGCCCGCCGCAGCCACCAACAGCCTCCGCCAGGCGCGGCGCCCCCGCGAAGCCGGCGCCGTTTGAAACTTGCGCCGCCGCACATGCGCCCGGGGCCCCTCGGGGCGCCGTCGCCTCGGGGCCCCGTGCTTCCGCCTCGCGCTCCCGGCACGCCCTG